CAAGTACTTGGAAGAAGAGTAAGTTGAAGCGGTGTGGCGGGTCCCATGCGGCGGGTTGCGGCTGGGCCACCTCCGGGGTGCATCCCGGATCCGGCAATGTCTTTTTTTTTAGCTTTTTTTGCCCGCTGAATGCGTTTTGTGCGTTTTGGTAGCCTGAAGTCGGTTTATACTACATAAAAAGGGATGGATGTCATTGGATACGCATTCACGAGCATCCTAATGGCCCATGAGGCTTCATAACAGCAGAGAATGATTCAGAAAATCGGTCAGAGGGGCACAAGATTGGCGAGCATGAGAATGGCTCGAACGCGCGACGCGCGTCAACAGACCGTGAACTCTGTGGCAACCGTAATGGTGAGCATGGAGCGAGGCCCAAACATAGCAGACGCAGCGCATGCTTTCCTCCTTTTGAACTTCTTTTCGTACCTCGTGCTCGTGTTCTGTGCTCGATAATGCGCTCGATAACGCTCAGACGCTTCTCCCGACTGCCCCGTATAACCCTACCCGGCGCCATACATAAAGCCCTCCTCTTGCTTCCCCTGCCCTTTTCTCGACTTTCCTCGAGTGCTCGGCCATGACCAGGATGGGCCCTTTACGCATTCTGGTTATTTTTGTATCCTTCTTCCTCACAAACGCTCTATCGCGTTCAACCAACGCCACCACCCTCGAGCCCTCCAAACGCGACTTTGTTTCCTCCCGTCGCAATCGACTTCCATCTCTTGCACGTAGAGACGACGAAACAGAAGGATTCAATTCGAGCTTCAGCGTTGTGAAGAACTCGGGAGTATGTGAGACGACGCCTGGCGTTGGCCAGATATCAGGCTACGTAGATGTTGGGGTCAATATGTCCATGGTGAGTCCTTCGCGCGTTCGTTCCCTTTTCTTTCCTGGTTTTTCTTTCTATGCTCTTCTCGGAACCATATGATTATGAAGGAGTGGTGTGTGCTGCTCCCCGGAGGACGCGACGGGTCCTATTTGACACCGATGAGAGCTATATTCCCAATTTAGTGCTTTGCTACCTCACTCTCCGTTCTCCTCGTTCCGATTCTCTCCCAAATATTTTTCCATCTATACTGCGCTTTCGGAACACTACGTACTCTGCTCCAAAATGCGACCGAGTTCTATCGCTTCCGTTCGAAAGTACACTCTGCTTGTACGATATGAAGCGCTTCCGGCGTCCTACGTTAAACAGCTTTTCTTGCGCTTTCTCTCCATCTGTGCGATTATGCGCTGATATGAAACTGTCTCAATCGTCATGCAGTGGTTCTGGTTCTTCGAAGCTCGCGAGAATCCCGAAACGGTACCATTCACGCTCTGGTACGTCCGCAAATAGTCACCCCTCAGATCGTCGAATACCGACTGCTGTTGGCCACAGGTTGAACGGGGTATGTTCTGTCTAGTGTTTGTTCAGGTTATTGTGGGAATTCAGCGTGTTAATGGAGATCTGGACTTGCATCGTTCTCAGGGTCCAGGGTGTTCGTCGATGATTGGATTGTTTCAAGGTATGTTTTCTCGCCGTCACCTCCTTGGCTCATCTCGTTCCCCCTTCCCTCTCCGACTCATCCAATCACGTATTTCAATCCTCGCCCGTCCATATTCCGTCATTTCAGCTGCTGACCATACCTTCCGTGCTTCATCTACCCCGTCTGATACTTGGACGGTCGTACACGTTAACAGAGAACGGCCCATGTCACATATTAGAAGATGGACAGACGACGGAGTTGAACCCGTTCAGGTATGTTTCCTCTTGGCCGAATTCAGTTTTACTCGAGTCTGTGGCAGGTTCAAGGGAAGGTGGCGATGGGCCACGACCGTATGGACCTATGCTGACGATCGTACTCTCTTTATATAGTTGGAATAACATCAGCAACAGTACGTCTCCACTCCACCCTCTTCCTCTCCTTCCCTCCTCCCAAAATACACAACCAAATCAACGCTAACCCCTCCCTCTCCCTCCACTTTCCCCCCAAACACAGTGATCTACATCGACCAGCCCATCGGAACAGGCTTCTCTTTCGGTACGGATACGGTCAACTCTACAGAGGCGGCGGCTCCGTTCGTGTGGGAGGCATTCCAGCTGTTGTTCGAGAGTGGGGAGTTTTCGAAGTTTCAGTCGAGAGAGTGCGTGCATAGTCCTCCAAACCTCCAATGCCTGGTTTCAAAGCTACGATGCTTGGTCGCATCTCGGATATCGTGTAGGCTGACGTTCCTCCGGTTATAGTTTCATATTCGCGACCGAATCGTACGGCGGACATTATGGGCCTGCGTTCGTCACGTTCTTTGATGAGCAGAACGCGTTGATAGACGCTGGGGAGATCGAGGGTGAGAAGATCGTGGTTAGTGCGTTGATGATCAACAAGTACGTCGCGTTCTTTCTCCTTCACTTCTCGTAATCCCACCACGGCCTGTCTGTCCCTTGCTATGACCCCTCCACGCACGCTTTCCACCTCCATCCCATATCTACCACCAACCCCACCACCTTCGTACCCTATACGCAAAACCAACCACATCGTTCTTCACCTCCCCAACAGCGGCTGGTACGACCCCCTCATCCAAAACGAAGCCTACGTCCTCTTCGCGATGGATCCCCCGGGCTACACTCCCTGGCTGAACGACACCCAACTTTCAGCCCTTAATACCTCCTTCTTCGAGCCGGGGGGATGTGAGGAGCAGGAGATCGCGTGTGAGGCGTTGAGGAATACGGATAGTGCGAATCGGACGGTGGATGAGGTGTGCATCAAGGCGGACAATTTTTGTGTGAGTTTCGTTGGCCAGGCTACTCATTCGATTCGCTCAGTTTTGAGGGTGGTTTTTTATGCTTGATGCTGATGTCGTTCGTCCGGTCATGTAGGTCGAAAATGTCTTCGTGCCCGCTTTCGGTGACCGGGACGTCGATGACCTCCGACAAAACTCTTCGGCGCTGTTCCCACCGGAGTTTTACCTCGACTTCCTGGCGAACGAGACAATAAAGGCATTGATTGGGGCCACGGTGCGTTTCATTTGAACGCCTTCAGTGGCTGGTCTATTCACCAGTTTGATATGATTACTGACAAGTTGAATATTATTGTGTGGCGTGTGTGGCGTGTGTGACTTATGACAGAGCACATACGGCGAATGTCCCGACGCACCTGATGAGCTGTTCGAGAGGACGGGGGACGTGAGTCTCCCCTTCCCTTCCTTCCCTTCCGCTCCATGCCCTCATTCGATACGTTTTTGACTCGCGGATGACGATACGGATGTTGTAAATCTAGGACGCACGAAGTTGGCTGAAAGAGCTGGGCGATCTCGCGAATTCGGGATTGAAGCTGCTTATCTGGGTACGTCCACTGCTTCTTTCTTGTCGTTCCTCATCTCGAAGTCCGCGAAGTAATGGGCTATTGATTATTTTTATTGTTGCTGGTGCAGGCTGGTGATGCTGATATCAAGTACGTCTATATACGTCCCTTTCCCTCGTCCTATCATCCTTTACTTACGCTGATCTCCTCCCTCCACTTCCACAGCTGCAACTGGATAGGCGGCCACAACTCCGTCCTAGCAATGGACTGGTTCGGCAACGAAACTCTCCATGCGACTCCGTTGACCAATATCACGATCAGCGGCGTGAATGGGGGTGAGCCTGTTGCTGCGGTGCAGAATGTTGAGAATTTCAGCTTTGCGTGCGTTTGCCGTCCCTTAGCTTTATGATTATCTTGAGAAAGGGGGCTGATGAGTGTGTACATATAGGAGAGTGTATCAGTCGGGACATGAAGTGGTGCGTCATACTCTACGTTTTCTTCGCACACGCTCCTAGATCTCGATCTTCGTTCCTCAACACCCATCCACCATTCATTTATTCCGTACCTCGTCCCATATCCTGTCAACTGACATGAACCACGTCTCTTTTTTTTTTCTTTCTGCGCAGCCTGCGTTCCAACCCGCCACCGCACTCGAGGTCTTTCGACAGATCATCAATATGGAGCAGTTGCATTCTGTTTGAGGTTCTGCATACGGGGGACCTTGATCTACGAAACGTATGGACAAGTAGACGGTGGTATGTATGGAACTGAAGATGTCTTGGTATTTTAGAGGAAACCAATGGAAATGCGCTATCGCATCGCTGTGGATTCATGATGCGTTATTCGTCGTCTATTTACGCTTCAGCGGGTCTCTACATTCTCCGTTGGGTTGTGATAACCTAGGCCACCGTTGAGCTGCCTGTCTCCCTGCCAGTCTTCCATGCCAGCATGAAGGAGTCAACGTCCATCTTTCTCGTTGTACAATGAAAGAGCAATGCGATTGCGGCTAAGAACTGGACAGTATATCTTGGTATACGCCCCACGTTCTACGAGAACCCGAGCACGGTGCGTGTCTTGAGAATGCATATGCGTCTACGTATGCGTACAGCATTCTTATTCTTACCTCACCCTGCTACATCGAGTCCGCCCCGTGTTCTAGCATTCTCGAGAACCGCCACAGAATCTGTGCGTTGGATTTATCGAACCACTAGAAGGTCTCCACCGTAGTGTTCGTCTTCAGCTACTTATTCCTTTCCTAAATCACCAAGGTCGTGAAGTGAGGGCATGCGGTCATTCGGATCTAGGGTTCATGATGCGAGCGTCTGCTCCACTCTCCCGTTGAGGGAACACGTTTTCCGCGGAAGTGCTGTTGGATATAGTGCAGGTTATTCGCGCACGAACTATTCTGAAATGTTCGGGACTTCAACATCTACTCAGCGAGTGTGCTTCGCTTCTGTTATTCTGTCATGAGCCGCACAGCGTACTAGATTGTCCATCTTCTTGCCTGATGGACCTTCCCGCAAACATAGTTGCCCATTGCCGTAGCAAGCGCGGGAGAACACGGACTGGGAGGATACAATAACCAGAAAGAGAGTAGTGGACGATACGTTCAAACCACTGATAAATAACGAACAAATCCAATGTCCTTTCCCATCCCCCTCGATACCACAGATTGAGACAAGAAAGATACTTCAATACCAGTCAGGTTTCACATGGATAACAAAGACAAGTAGAGACACAATACATCTTCTGAAAAGACGCGAACATCAGAGTCAAACGATCAGCTAGAAACATTGTATTTAGCGTCAGTCATCTGAAACGGAAAAATCTGAAGGGGTGGAAATCAAGATTCAAATAACACGAAAGTATGGAACAGTACATATACTACCACTGACTCGGAGGTCACATTTCTATGCACCTCGCCCACGACGGACCATAAGCAAAATCTCGTAGGTCCAAAACAGCACTCCGATACCTCCCGATAAATATCTTCGTATAAGGCCAGTGTAACCCTTGACGATACTCCACGGGGATCCAAAGGAATAATTCGTCGTTTGCATTGACAAGCCAACCATCGGGCATGATTCGCATTGATCGTAGATCATTAAAGGGACTAAGTGGGAGCTGGGATGGGTGTGTACTCGTGATGGCCATCATATCTGCGTCCCAGATGCGGATATTCGAGTCGCTCGAACCAGACACAAGGTGGCTCCCGTCTGAGGATAATACGACCGAAGTGATCCCATCCGTGTGACCGCGCTGTGGCTCGCCCACCGCGTTGCCCGTCTCTGCCCAGATCCGGATCGTCGAGTCTGAAGAGCCAGAGACGATCCGTCTCCCGTCAGGCGAGAATGCGACCGAATTGACCCAACCCGCGTGACCGCGCAGTGGCTCACCCACCGCATCGCCCGTCTCTGCATCCCAGATCCGGATCGTCGAGTCATTAGAGCCAGAGACGACGTGTCTCCCGTCAGGCGAGAATGCGACCAACCAAACCCAATTTCTGTGCCCGCGCAATGGCTCACCCACCGCATCGCCCGTCTCTGCATCCCAGATCCGGATCGTCGAGTCATTAGAGCCAGAGACGACGTGTCTCCCGTCAGGCGAGAATGCGACCGACCGGACCCAATTTCTGTGCCCGCGCAATGGCTCACCCACCGCATCACCCGTCTCTGCATCCCACATCCGGATCGTCGAGTC